GCACTGCAGCCTTGACCTGCTGGGCTCCAGCGATCCTTCCACCTCAGCCTTCCAAGTAGCTGGAACCACAGACATGTGCCACCGTGCCTGGCTGATTTTTTTATTTATTGTAGAGATGAGGTTTTGCCATGTTGCTCAGGCTAGTCGCAAACCCCTGAGCTCAGGCAGTCCTCTTGTCTCTGCCTCCCAAGGTGCTGGGGTTATAGGTGTGAGCCACCACACCTGGCAATAAACTATATTTTCTAATCTTAAAAAAAAAAAAAAAAAAAAAAAGACCTGGCAAGTGGAAATGAAGAGGAATGTAAAAATGTACTAATTAAGTTTTTAAAATGTATTGTAGTGGGTTTGGAGTCCCCACCGCTGTCTGTATCTGAGGAAAGACAACTTGCCATCCTAACAGAGTTGCCTTTTGTGGTTCCATTTGAGGAACGAGTAAAGGTATGTCATTTGGCTTCGTTTTATTAACTCACTGCATTTTATGATTCATTATCATATTGGTGTCCAAAAAATTACACACCAGTCGCAAAAATATTCCTTAGAGGTACCTGTGCCTACCTGGTTATATAACTTATACTTTTCTTGTTAGGTTGGGGTAGCTAACAATGATTTATAAAACCCAAACAGATATTTCTTTGTATGAACTGAAAATATTCTCTTAGTTATAACCGGTTGAAAGACCTATTACATTGTAGATTTCTTTTTTCTTTATTTTATTTAATTTTTTTTGAGTTGGAATCTCACTCTGCTGCCCAGACTGGAGGGCAGTGGAACACTCGACCACCGCAGCCTCAGCCTGCTGGGCTCAGGCAATCCTTCCACCTCAGTCTTCCAAGTAGCTGGAACTACAGGCACGTGTCACCACGCCCGGCTAATTTTTTGATTTATTGTGAAGATGAGGTCTCTCCACGTTGTCCAGGGTGGTCTCAAACCTGTGGGCTCAGGCAGTCCTCTCACCTCAGCCTCCCAAAGTGCTAGAATTATAGGCGTGAACCACCGCGCCCAGCACAAGCACAACTTTTTATTTTTAAAAAAACTTTTTTTTATTGAAAAAGACAGGTATCAGCCGGGCTTGGTGGCTCAGCCTGTAATCCCGCACCTTTGGGAGGCTGAGGTGAGTGGATTGCCTGATCCCGTGGGTTCGAGAACCACCTGGGCAGCGAGACCTCATCTCTACAATAAATCAAAAAATCAGCTGGGTGTGGTAGCACATGCCTGTAATTCTGGCTACTTGGAAGGCTGAGGCGGAAGGATCGCCGGAGCCCAGCAGGTCGAGGCTGCGGTGGCCGGGAGCGGCCACTGCACTCCAGCCTGGGCAACAGAGTGAGACTCCAACTCAAAAAAAAAAAAAAAAAGGGACAGGTATCTTAATTTCTGATCTGGTGATTTTGACTGATACACTAAACTTTGTTTATATTTATCTGTTTCTAAATTCAATTGAAAATGTTTTATTTGTGTTCATCATCTACCAGGGATGACCAAAAAATGTATACGCGTTTTAAGAGATGTTAAGGATGTTTGCTGTATTAGAAGTGTCTGAGGCTGATGCTAACCACTTTGAGCACCTCTTGTAACTGGAGAAGTCAAACATGACTTGTATTCATCTTATTGAATGTTACAGTTTTTTTTTGTTTGTTTGTTTGTTTGTTTGAGTTGGAGTCTCACTCTGTCACCCAGACTGGAATGCAGTGGCCGCTCCCGGCCACCGCAGCCTCGACCTGCTGGGCTCTGGAGATCCTTCCACCTCACCCTTCCAAGTAGCTGGAACTACAGGCACGCGCTACCACACCCATCTAATTTTTGATTTATTGTAGAGGTGAGGTCTCATCAAGTTGCTCAGGCAGATCTTGAACCCACGGGCTCAGGCATTCCACTCACCTCAGCCTCCCAAAAGCAGAATATTACAATTTTAATCCAGTTTTTTCCTTTCTTAAAATGTATATACATTTTTTGGCACCCTCTGTATATTCAGCAGACGGTCTTAAAATTTCTCGGCTCTCTTCTCCAGCAATGGTTTCAAGAGTATATTTTTTTAGGCCACTCTCTTTACAGGGTAAGCAAAAAGAAAAGTTTCTTTTGAAGCTGTTAATGTTTCTTTATTAAAAACCACACACAGCCGGGCTTGGTGGCTCAGCCTGTAATCCCGCACCTTTGGGAGGCTG